GGGGAGGTGGGGCACATTGCGGAATCTGGCCTTGGGGCAGCAGGGAAAGTAAATCTGGCCCTGGCTGTCCTTACAAATCAAGGAGGTCACACAAAATACTAGATGGAGTAGTTTTTGTTGTGGGGTGCATTCATTTTTGCTTCACCTCATTTGAGTAAAACTGAAGATTCTGGGATATAAGTTATATTATTCACCTTACTTTCATGTCATGAGCTAAACAAATGTTCTATAAAACTCGTTATTTTTTGGAAATTGTTCTTGTGTTCACTGCGATACCGATTAAAATCTTACTGTTCAAAGAGGTGTACTCATTAATGCTGAGCACTGTATTAACGTAAGTGTAAATGAGCATTAAAACAAGCCCCCACTGACCTCTGTAGCTGTAAGCACTGCGGAGCAATTTACAGTATCTTCAAAGTTCATAACAGAAGCAATACAGTATTTCAAGTCTTTCGCTTAGCAGCTCCCCCTCCCAGCAGTGACTCAGCTCCCCTGCATCCTACTCCTAGCAGTGATTCAGCCGCTGAGCTACCCCTCAGAAGTGACTTAGAATCTCAGCTCATCATGCTTCCTCCTCCCTCCTGTAACTCAGCAGCTCATCTATCCCTGTTTAATCATTGCGGGGAGGGGGGAGCCGATTGACAGCTCAGCTCCCCTGCCAGAAGTGGCTCTGTGGCTCAGCTCTCCCTTCTCCCCACCCCAAGAAATGACTCAGCAGCTCAGCTCCCTCTTCCATCAGTAATTTAGCTTCTGACCATGCCTTGCTGGTGGTGGTGAGGGGTGAGGGTATAGCTGCTGAAGTCACATCTGGAAGAGGGGAACTGCTGAGAGATAATGACTTCAGTGCTCCTGGTGTGAGATTTGAGAATGAATTACTCCACAGTGTCTGCAACTACAGAGCTGAATGAGAGTTTGTTTTAAAGCTCATTTACTGATTGTTAGGAATACATTAATACTCAACTGTCCATAGTCTGGCCCTAGGAAGTAAACATTGCCCCCATACAAGAGTCCTGTGTATGTATTCTTCTTGAATCTTGGTGAGCTTTGTGTATTTCTTCCAGATCTGTGCCGTAATCCAGTGTGAGAGTTCCTGTAATAAAGACCGGTCACTGCTGCTCTCTCTCCTTACAGGGTGACTGGTCTTGTCTCCACCCCCTCCTGTAATAAAGACCGGTCACTGCTGCTCTCTCTCCCTGTGCAAGGTGACAGGTCTTGTCTCCACCCCCTCCTGTAATAAAGACCTGTCACTGCTGCTCTCTCTCCTTACAGGGCGACTGGTCTTGTCTCCACCCCCTCCTGTAATAAAGACCGGTCACTGCTGCTCTCTCTCCCTGTGCAAGGTGACAGGTCTTGTCTCCGCCCCCTCCTGTAATAAAGACCGGTCACTGCCGCTCTCTCATCTTGTAGAGGGTGACAGGTCTTGTCTCCGCCCCCTCCTGTAATAAAGACCGGTCACTGCCGCTCTCTCATCTTGTAGAGGGTGACTAGTCTCGTCTAGACATGTGCGTTTCGTTTCGTTGTATCCGAATTCCGAATTACAGACATAACGAATGCAAACGAATCTGAATTTCCATTTCCGAAATTCGGTAGCGTTAGTACGAACGTTCGTTTCGTTCGTTGGAGCAAAGTGACATTAGAGAAGGAGAAAAATATTTTTTCCGCCTCAAATGTCACTTTTGCTGCAAACAAACGAACGAATAAGAAACGAAAACGAAACAAACGTTCGTACTAACGCTAACGAATTTCGTCCGAATCCGAATTCCGAATTGACTTTCACACCCGAATCCTGAAAAACGAAATAACACAAATCCGAATTTAAAACGAAACGAAACTAAACAAATGTTTTGGCAGTGCACATGTCTAGTCTCGTCTACGCCCCCTCCTGTAATAAAAAACACTCGCTGCTGCTCTCTCCTTGTGCAGGGTGACTGGTCTGGTCTCCTCCCCCTCCTGTAATAAAGACCGGTCACTGCTGCTCTCTTTCCTTGTGCAGGGTGACTGGTCTTGTCTCCGCCCCCTCATGTAAGGAAGGGAGGTAGTATAATAGAAAGTGGGAGTTAGGCGTTTTCCCGGGCGGAAGGCAGATGCTGTCTGAAGATTCTGAAAAGTTGATCAAACAGAACTCAATCTAGAAATGTGGCTTCATTCATCCAAAGGGGAAATGTGTCTGCCAGGAATTGCAGCAAGTAGGATTCTTTTTATGTGCATCTGTGAAAAATAAAGCATTGAGAACTGCAACCACATCTGCCTGAGCAGAACAGCATACATATAAGGTGCTATACAGGCAATTCAGACCAATCACTGAGACACGGAGCGATATTCTTGGAGCTGCCGCTAGCTGGTCTCTCCCTTTCTTATGTTAGGCGTTTGCTGTTCCTGCATAATAAACGTCACAATAAAATAACGTACAAGTTGTGTGATGAAAAACATATAAGCTGGTTATCCCCTAGGGAAACACAACACAGAGGTATGGCAGACAGAGTAATATGCAAATTTTGACCTTACCTGTAAAAGTCAAGCTTGGCCCCGCCTCTTCTCAACCTTCCTAATGCTCAATAAAACCAACCATCACAGTAAAGGTTAAATAGGGAGGCTTAGGAGGCGAGAAAAGGGGCGTACCCGCATTTTAATTCTACAGGAAAAGTTAGCAGAAGATGTTTACCTCAATGATTAGAGGGATTACATTTTTCCCAACACATTCGGCAAATCTAAAATCAACACAAAGGTCTCTTTAAATCTTCCCAGATCTCAGAAGACAACGTCTGGATTGTAGTCCACACAGATGATGGACAGCACAGAGACAGCCACAGCTTACCTTGTGAAAGGATCTGACCCCCTTAGAACAGGGGTGGGCAAACTCCAGCTGTTGTGGAACTACAAGTCCCATGAGGCACTTGCAGCCATAGGCATGACTCCCAGAGACGGATGCATGATGGGAGTTGTAGGTTCACTACAGCTGGACGGCCGGAGTCTGCTCATACCTACCTTAGAACACAGCGGGCACAGACCAGCATGGCTTCATCAGATCCGCATCTGGTCTTATATTTCAAGCTCTAATTTGCAAAGTTAAAGATCAAATACAGGGGTTGGGACTAGAGGAACACTACCATTACTTCTGAGAGGAGTGTTCCTCTAGTCTTAGCTTTTCTCTCCAGAATATTGTTACATTTTAGATCATCTCACAATGCTATATAAAACCTGAGCTATAATAAACCTTCAGTGTACAGAAAAACCCTTTAAAAGCCCAGCGCAGGAAACATCAAGCATTCAGAAATCAGATGTGGTGAACTGGTTTGTTTCCGTATATGAAATGCTATTTCTACAGATAAAAGAGCTTTGTGTGGCCCTGAACTGGACGAGCTGGATTGTCAACTAGGAAATGTCAGGATGTGTACTTGTGTCACTTGTATGCCAACCGCATTGCTGACGTATCGCGTCACAGAGCACCCCCAGTGCCATGTGACCGTCACAGAACACCTCCATCCTAGTACCTGTGTCACAAATCGGCCTTCTTCACCCATATATTCATCATAACAGAGAAGACCCCGTCACCGTACTAGCATCACAGAGTCGCACCTATCTCCAAACCAGCGTTGCAGTGTGACCCCTTTTACTGTAACAGAATCGCGAGTTGGCCATCTTCAGCTGTATAATAATAACAAAGCAGACCCCATCACTGTACCAACATCACAGACTGCCCCCCATCATCATACCAGCATCATAGAGCAGACCCCATCACTGTACCAACATCACAGACTGCCCCCCATCATCATACCAGCATCATAGAGCAGACCCCATCACTGTACCAACATCATAGACTGCCCCCCATCATCATACCAGCATCACAGAGCAGGCCCTATCACTGTACCAACATCACAGGCTATCCCCCATCATCATACCAGCATCATAGAGCAGACCCCATCACTGTACCAACATCACAGACTGCCCCCCATCATCATAGAGCAAACCCTATCACTGTACCAACATCACAGACTGCCCCCCATCATCATAGAGCAAACCCTATCACTGTACCAACATCACAGACTGCCCCCCATCATCATACCTGCATCATAGAGCAGACCTCATCACTGTACCAACATCACACGGCAGGCCCTATTACTGTACCAGCATCACAGAGTAGACCCAATCACCATACCGGCATCATAGAGTAGACCCCATAACCGTACCGGCATCACACAGAAGGCCCTATCACTGTACCTGCATCATAGAGCAGACCCTATCACTGTACCGGCATCACAGAGTAGACCCTATCACCATACCGGCATCACACAGCAGACCCTATCGCAGTACCGAAATCACACAGCTGACCTTATTCACTGTACCAGCATCACAAAGCAGACCCTATCACAGTAGTACCGGAATCATAGAGTAGACCCCCCATTGCTGTACCGGCATCACAGAGCCGACCCTATTACAGTACCAGCATCACACAGCAGACCCCCCCTTTCCATACCAGGCTCCCCATGCAGAGCCCCCAGCACCATACCAGTTTCACCATGCAGACCCCCCCCATCACCACACCAGGGGCATAATCCAGAGATCCCCCCATCACCACACCAGGGGCATAATCCAGAGATCCCCCCATCACCACACCAGGGGCATAATCCAGAGATCCCCCCATCACCACACCAGGGGCATAATCCAGAGATCCCCCCATCACCACACCAGGGGCATAATCCAGAGATCCCCCCATCACCACACCAGGGGCATAATCCAGAGATCCCCCCATCACCACACCAGGGGCATAATCCAGAGATCCCCCCATCACCACACCAGGGGCATAATCCAGAGATCCCCCCATCACCACACCAGGGGCATAATCCAGAGATCCCCCCATCACCACACCAGGGGCATAATCCAGAGATCCCCCCATCACCATACCAGGGGCATTATGCAGACCCCCCCATACCAGACAGACCTGGGTCCAAGTTGAAAGTTTAGACATAAACAGACATTTACTGAAGACACGGCAGCCGTAGTTGGGGATGTATTTACAAAAATGGTTTATTCACACAGTAATAACCTGATTTTTATAAATCCTATTTTTTTTTTTCACTGGCTCTTAAAAATGTCTCCATCCAGCGCAGCTTTCATGCATGAGCTGTGGGCAGTCCCGGTCACAAGGGGGCGTGGCTTTTTATTCCGCATCATTATAAATAAAAAATAAAAATCCCGATTTCCTTTAGTGCAAAGAAACAGGTTCCACAGATGAACCGGACTCTGGGGGGCGGAGGACCCCCCACTGCCAAACAGAAGAGCAACATCTTGGAAAAAAACCCCTAACTTTTGTCCTTTTAATGTCAGCAACATTTGTGGACCCGAAATCTTCGAGGCGGAGGCGGTCCCTTGGGCGAGCGTAACAGCGGATTTAGTGTGATTGACTGTTCCCAGATGTGACCTCCTCCGTTCGTTTGCAATTGATGTTGTGCATTGCCCAATGACCAACCGACAACCGATCTTATACCATATTGTTACTCTCCCCGGCCTTGTCTACAAGCTGCAAGGGAAACAAGAGAGATCAGGAGGTGAACAATGACCCACAAGCATCTCAATTCATCAAGAAGTCAATGAAAGGGCAACGTCTCCAAATGAGTGAGGTGAGTGCGATGTGGTAATCACATTCTGCCAATACAGTCCCCGGTAATGTCTCTGCACCCAGAACTTATTCATATCTTGTAGGGATGCACCCATACCCATACTAGTATCCGTGCCAATGCCGAGTATCTGGGCAAGTACTCGTACTCACCCAAATGCTCCGATGCCTAGCACAATACTTGAGCTTCCGGTATCAGGAAGCCGAGCAGCGAGTCATTACACTGCACCCGGCTTCTTGATTGGCCAGAAAGCCGGCTCCATGCTTCCTCGTCACCTGGTGACGAGGGAGCATGGAGATGGCTTCCCAGCTAATCGGGAAGCCAGGTGGCGAGTTATTACACACTGCCCGGCTTCCTTAATGGGACTGCCGGTATCGGTGAGTACCAAAAAATATCCGTACTCGATACCAAAAAAACGGTATCAGTGCATCCCTAATGTCTTGGCCTGTGGCTCTTTCTGCAGCTCATGTCGGACATATTTATATGAACCTACAGTGTATTTGCTCCCTCAAACAGCAAGAGATGTATTAAAGATGATTTAAAGTGGACCGGTCATCAGATATAATATCAAAGTTAAGTTGAGTGTGCTGAGTAATGTGCAACACTTCCCTCTCACAGAGAGTACAGTATCCCCTGACCTCATCTGCTTTTCCCTCCAGAAGAACACAACCATCTTTGTTCAGGCATCATCCAGGGTCACCATCTCCTTCCTGGACTGAGATACCGGCTCAGATATGGCACAGTCATGTATATCCTGGTGTCTGTGCAGTTCACACAAATGTCTGACAAAGATCAGCCCCAGCAATCGTGACATGCTACAAAGTTACAATGCAGCAGACTGATCACTGGGGAAGGGGGACTGAGGAAATGCTTCCACTGCCTGCAGCAGACTGATCACTGGGGAAGGGGGACTGAGGAAATGCTTCCACTGCCTGCAGCAGTCTGATCACTGGGGAAGGGGACTGTGGAAATGCTTCCCCTTCCTGCAGCAGACTGATCACTGGGGGAAGGGGGACTGTGGAAATGTTTCCCCTTCCAGCAGCAGACTGATCACTGGGGGAAGGGGGGCTGAGGAAATTCTTCCCCCTGCCTGCAGCAGTACGATCACTGGCGGGCTGAGCAAATGCTTCCCCCTGCCTGCAGCAGACTGATCACTGGGGCAGAGGAGACTGGGGGAATGCTTCCCCTGCCTGCAGCAGACTGATCACTGGGGGAAGGGGGGCTGAGGAAATGCTTTCCCCTGCCTGCAGCAGTCTGATCACTGGGGGGCTGAGGAAATGCTTCCCCCTGCCTGCAGCAGACTGATAACATCATCTCAGTCTAGGCAAAGTCACTGAATGGAGGTCAAGGATGACTTTTTAGTGATAAATCTTCTGAAAAATGGTGTTGTTGCACTATATTGCGATAGGTCAAGAAATTGTTTATGTAAAATTGACAGGTCCACTTTAAAGCTGCTACAAGTGATTTGGGCAGCTTTATAGCATCGGCGGCTCCCCTGCTCTACATCTAGCCCTGCTTGCCCTCAGCAGGGCTAAATGTAGAGAGAAAACCACTTGCCCGAAACTACATGTCGCAGGCGTCGGGCGATAGGAATCGCGCACCGCTGAACTTTTACTTTAGAGCTTGTTCCTCTCTATTTTCATTATTATATTACAAAGGCAGACTGGATGTTCTCCAATTGCTCTCTGTATACCAGGATGTGTGGTCTATATACTGACTGGACAGGTGCAGAGATAAAACCAACTAGAGATTTGCATTGCCAAAGACAAAGTGTAATAAGAAAACATGACTATCAATATGAAATATAATAATAAACAAGGATTAAAAAGCAGGAACATGCATTGAGACTATTCACATGGAAGTAAAAGGTTATAGTGTTAGAAAGTTCCCTGACATCAGGCACAGAGGCACGGTCCGTGAGCACCGGGAAGTGTTTGATTTGAGAAGATTGGTAGAATGGAGACACAGTGAGAACACCCACACCCCCTCCCCCACGTCTTTCTCCACCCAAATACCATATGACAGCTCTTCCTAGGATAAGGTTCTACATCAGGAGTGGGCAACTCCGGCCCTCTAGCTGTGCTTTAACTACAAATCCCAACATGTCTCTGCCTCTGGGAGTCATGCCTGTAACTGTCAGTCCTGCAATGCCTCATGGGACTTGTAGTTGCACAACTGCTGGAGGGCAGAAGTTGCCCGCCCCTGTTCTACATCATACAGAACTTCTCCAGGAAGGCTGCTCAGTGTATAACAGCTCTTTAACTTCCAAAAGTGAGGCGAGTGCTCTGTGAAGCCTGAGCCCTTATCTGGAACATGCTGTGATGACAGGCTGGCTGTTAGAGGAGATGCTGTCATAGATCTTCTGCATAGTAATCTGTGGCAGCACCTCCCCTGATAACAAGTCCATCGTCATACAGTTGATTTCAGATATGTTCCCAGGTTTTTCACAGCCATTGAGTCTCCTTGGGAAGTGAAGGAGCTGAGGGCTGTAAATGGACCCACCTGTAAAATCACTGGACAGAATGTAACCCTCTCATGGAGAATGAGAAAATAAAATCTACGTATAGTGAATGCAGATCTCTGGAATGATAGAAATCCCTCCCATACATAATCAGAAGTAAGAAGGAAAGACGAGGACTGACCATTACTGTGGATTCTTCCCAGCCTATGTGGGCTTTAAATGTCAAAAAAAAAAAAAGAAACCTTTGTAAATGTCAGCTCTTCATACGAATGTCATCACACAGTGCGGACAGTTTCATTTTAGTGACGTGCTGTAGACATTACTGATACGTGATGTTATGGGACACAATCCCCTAAAAGCAGTAAGAGGCGGCACTATGGACACGTCTTCTCTCAGAGGTGGGAGAACAGAGCTGTTAGTCTGTGGTGGGGCTCCTGACCCCATCAGAATAAGATATAGACCTACAGGGTGGTGGTGGTGGTGGTGGGTCAAGTTCCTCTTTAAGGGACCTAGCTAGGACCAGAAGGCCCATTTGATGTCCAGGGGGCTCAACTACAACCAGGGGGATAGTACAGCTAGTCAGAGCTGCACACCTGCCTGTCACCTCACAAAGTAGGATGTTTTATAGACAGTACACAGATTTGTAAGACGAGTCACCAGCACACAGGTTCAGGATGCAAACCTAATCCAATTTATTGCAAATGCATCACATAAAGCTAATGTATCGGAGAAGGGGGCGCACACAAGGTCCTCTCCTCAAGGCAACACAGTGCTGGTACTTAGGGCCCCTTCTGCCTTCATCTGTCTGGTGGCACATGATCTGATGGCAAATGTCTACAAGGGGATTTCCCTTACTGTGGAGATTACACTTCCTGTTGTAGGAGACATATAAATTACAGCCCAACTACAGCAAACACCCTTTTAGGCAATTACAACATGGATTGAGGTTAAAAATATATGGATAACAATGAGGCTTGGTGGAACAAATAGTTTGACCCCAACCTCTGTGACTGTCATTTTTGCTGGACATCTTGGTCTGTTACAGTAAGTGGGAAAAAATGGATATACTGCCGGGATTAACAACTGATAAAACTATGTTACCGGGGACTCCAAACAAATACTGATGTTCATGCTACTGGCAGACTGTCATTTCAGATTTTTGCCCAGATTTCCAACAATTTGTTTTGGCTTCCAGAACTGTATAATAGTTTTATAAGATACGCAAGAACTGCAATTTTCACTGCGCATTAATAAACCTTTACATTTCAGGTTTAACCCTCCAACCTCCACCAAACACTGAAATATCACTCTAGGTGGTTTTGCTCTCCAATTAAAGAACTCCAGTTAAAAGCAAGGGCTAAGTGCTCGTTTTTGTCTAGGTGCTGAAAAAAGTAAAAACAAAAAGGCTATACTCACTAGGAGATGCACCGATACCAGTTTTTCGGTATCAAGTACGAGTACCGATATTTTTTTTCCGGTACCCGCCAATACCGAATACCGATACCGGAAGTCCCATTGAAGGAAGCCAGGCAGAGTGTAAAGACTCGCCACCTGGCTTCCCGATTAGCATGAAAGCCGGCTCCATGCTCCCTCGTCACCAGGTGACGAGGGAGCATGAAGCCGGCTTTCCCGCCAATCAGGAAGCTGGGCAATGTGTAATGATTCGCTGCCCAGCTTCCTGATACCGGAAGCTTAAATATCGGGCTAGGCATCAGAGTATTTGGTCAAGTACGAGTACTCGCCCAAATACTCTGCATACTAGTATTGGTGCATCCCTACTACTCACGCGACCATCTGAGTCGGTTCTCTGCTTCTGTGATTACTGGAGCTTGTCTGCTGCACAGATGGATTGGTCCTGGCATCCTCACATCTATGCACAGTGTATAGAGCATGATGACACTGGGATCCTTAGACCGCTGAAGCAGAGGGGAACAGACGATTGAGACACCGGTCTAAGAACAAGCCAGCTCAGGTGGTCTGGCGAGTATTTTTTTAGCACCTAGACACAAATGAGTACTTAACTCTTGAAGTGCAGGGGTAGCCCCACTGTAAGGGTTAATAAAAATGTTCTTGGAGTAAACCTAACCAAAAGTACATATTTTGGATCAAATCATTTAGGTGTACGAGGCAAGCTGTTAGATTGTTAATCCTTTCCACCTCTCTGTAATGGAAATGGAAAGAATAAACACACATAGGTGTGAAGCTGCAGTAAAATAAGACAATGGTATCTGTGCTTCCTCAGTATTCCTTCCTGAGTAACAAGCTGTGCACTTCAGTGCTAGACCACCAGGTGGCAGCACATCACACTGTATAAGAGCACAGGGATACCAGTGCATGCATCCTATGTATACACAAGGACAGGTCTTACAGTGACCCTCATTAAATGAACCAGATCAGACAAATGAGTAGAGTGACAATTCCGGAGAATGTTATGTCCGTCTTACCGAGCTTATTCCAGGTAAATTCAGAATGGATCCTAATACAGGGACTCTTCGGATGAAACCTACAACCACCGGGAAAAATCCCCTAATAGAAAGAAAATAAAATGTTAATCCGACATGCAATAACCACCTCAGTACCAGCTTGTTACAGCCCTTCCTTTTCAGGCTCACTGACAATTATTCTCTCATGCAACACTGAACCCAAATTAAAGTGATACTAAACTCAGATGGTAAAAACTTTAAAAATGCATTCAAGTATCGTCACTATTAACAAAAATGTATCTTATTTGTGCATCACTCAGCTGTAGATCCTCAAATCATCTCTGAATTGGTGCCGACACTGTCCTTCCTTCTGGAGGGTGCAACTGTTGTTCCCCATGGTCCCGGTGTGTGTTGTAAAGTAGTCACTGCTCTAAGCTCGCTCCCAGGATGGACTACAATCTCACTACAAATTAGTAAACTAAACATGAGATTGTGAAACATGAGAAGGTAAGGAACTTGGAAGCATTTTTAATATTTAACTCCTGAGTTTAGTGTCACTTTCATTTTATATATTTTTGGGCTACATGGAGCTTTCTTTTGGTGGTATTTAATAACCACTGGGTTAAGTATATACATTCTATAGGGGTGTAGGGTTGGGGGTAATACTTACCACGGTCAAAAGCAATGTGAGCATGCCTGGGCAGTTAAAACAATCTCTCCGAATAGAAGGTGCCCTGGCCGACCATTTAAATGATTTATATGGCAACCTTACAACTATTCCTGAGGTTGCTTTCCTTATCCTGGCTCCAGAGAGCATCAAATCAGATCTCTCCTATCATTTATTTTATCTGCTGCTCACCAAATTATCCCTGCTTTCTGGAAAACGTCCGCTACTCCCAATGTATCTCACTGGGTCAATGCCATGAATGATATCATGCAAATGGAGGAGCTATTGCCAATAGCTTCTGATACCTATGACGCCTGGATAAATTATTCATCCTCAGACTGTCTTAGACGCAGACTCTAATTTGCACTTTGGTCAATGCCTGCCTTCCTTGGGGTGAGGTAGGATTTGGATGCAGTCTTAATGCCAAAGAGACTTCCCCCACCACGGGCACTCTTTCCCCTTTTTTTCCCCACTCTTCTTCTACTTCTCTTTATTTCTCTTCTGCTTACCCTTTCAACAACTCATTTTCATTTCTGTTTTAATCTCACATATGATCATCGGACCTTGGCTTTAGATAAGGTTTGCCTTGTACTGCGTATGACCACATGATGTAATCGTTTTATTACTATGACTGGGATGTGTCCTTGGTCGGCTCTTTTCTCTCCAAGTTCTTTACCGATAATTTTTCTGGTTATGCGGTGTAACAAGGACACTCCACTGTAGTCCAGGTAAGTCAAGTAAAACGCAGTTGATTTAGGGCAAACACAAATATACAATTCCATCCACAGGGTAGACCTCCCCTGTGCACAAGACGGTTTCTAGCCGCAACATAAATGACAGTCTTTTAGCTTCGCTCTGTAGCTTTCCACAGCTCCAAGACACTCACGCTGTTCCCCCCTCGTGAGCCCTCAATCTGCTCTCTTAGCAGTCTGTACCACAGGTCCTAGGGTCACCGACCTTCCTGACATCTCCCCTCGTGGACACTCACTCTGCTCTTTCAGCAGTGCGTCCAACAGGTCCCTTGGGTCACCGACCTTCCTGACCTCTCCCAGCCACCCCTGGCTGTTCTTTGTGCGTCCAGCACGCACCTGAGTTTGTCTGTGTCCGTGTGCTCCCTCCAACACTCCTCTCTGAGCAATGGGCTGGCTTACTAATGAGGCTGTTCTCAGCCACCTGTTCAGCCCAAGCTGGTCATTGGCAACACCTGGCCCCAGGACTGGAGATCTCATCCCACCCAGAGCTCTACGAAATCTCCAGAGCTCCAGATCCCAGCTACAATTAGGAAAACCTGGACTACAGTGGAGTGTCCTTGTTAAAGCGGATTGAGTGCGGACACCCGGGCTTAATCGTTACCTGTTCTTTTTCTGATATTTACTATGCTGTAGTTTTGATGATCTATTTTTGTTCACTTTATTGTACGTCTCCTGTTTTGTTCTATAAAGACAGATTCAACCAGAATTTGAATGCCCAGTTGTGGGGCACTTAAATTTGCTCTCACCTCCCTCTCCATGTTCCATTATGACCTTCTGTGTACTGGGATCTGCTCTCAAGTGCTGGTTGTGCTGTCTGACTTTTCTCTACAATTCATCACTAGCCAGTACCTCTCATGTAGCAATTTATAGAACTTCCACAAGTCCCTGTCACTTTGATTGGTGCAGAGCCACTACGACTGGCTGTTATCATTTTGCCTGTGATCTGCACTGTCCAATGACAGCTCAATTACAGGCATTGACTGGCGTGAGCATGCCTGTTTAAAGTAGGCACTTATATCAAAGGTGATCTGACTGGCTGGCTGTTTAATTACTAGGGGTGCACCGATACCGATATTAGTATCCGTGCCCATGCTGAGTATTTGGGCAAGTACTCATACTCGCCCAAATGCTCAGATGCCTAGCCCAATACTTCCGGTATCAGGAAGCCGGGCTGAGAGACATTACACACTGCCCAGCTTCCTGATTAGCCGGGAAGCCAGCTTCATGCTCCCTCGTCACCTTATGACGAGGGAGCATGGAGTCGGCTTCCCAGCTAATTCCTGATTGGCCAGAAAGCCGGCTCCATGCTTTCTCGTCACCCAGTGACGAGAAGCATGGGGATGGCTTCCCGGCTAATCGGGAAGCCGGGTGGCGAGTCTTTACATGCCCCCTGGCTTCCCGGCTAATCAGGAAACCAGGTGGTGAGTCATTACATGCCGCCTGGCTTCCTTAATGGGACTTCCGGTATCGGTATTGGCGAGTACCGGGAAAAAAAATATTGGTACTCGTAATCGAGATACCGGTATCAGTGCATCCCTATTAATTACAATGACCAGCCGTGGGGTGGTTATAGAATGCATCAGATCCATTCTCTAAAAGCTGCAAAACTGAAGACACCCAAGTTCCTGGGAGAAGGAAGCTAAAACTGCCAATTTCCACCAAATCTCAGCTATAGAGTGGAAGAGATGATAAACCCCTCTGCTTTCCCAGAATCCTCCACTCTGGAGCTGATGACATTTAAGGTGCCCATACACCTTACGATTATCGGACGAAACGTTTCGTCCGATGATCGAATAGCCGTACGATTTTTGTACGGCAGCCCCATCCTGCCCCGATGATCGCAAGATTAATTTAGCCGTAATTAACGAAAAGCACCTGGACGAAATGCGGTAATTGATTTGTCGTATTTTCGTTCGCGCATGCTCAGTGTAGATCGTACGACTTTTGACGGACGGAAACGCCAGCAACCTTACGACAATCGTACGATCGAGCAAAGTTTTCAAACATGCTTGAACGTCAAAAGTCGTACGATTGTACAGTAATGTCGGTTCGGGCACTGTATTCACACGTACGATTGCCGTTCGAAAAGTCGATCGCATACGATTATCGTAAGGTGTATGGGCACCTTTAGAATATATGCACTATTTACACACACAGACACATTTTAAAGTTCAGCTGGGCTTTAAAGCTGAATTGCAGGCTGGAAAAAAAAAAGGGTTTACTTTTTCCAGCCCGGAGTTCAGCTTTAAAGGATGCTTCTTCTTCTGCAGCTTAACTCCATTCAAATGAATGAATTACACTATATTTAGGATGGTGTCAATTATAAGTGAAATTCTGGGCAATTGGTATGTCTTAAATTGGTGAAAATGGCCAATTTAAATCCCAATGGCCCCTATAGGTCTATTTCTTGATAGACCTATGGGGGCCATGGTGCTATCGGAGACATCCTCTCTAGCCTGCGTTCTTGTGCTGGGATCTGACACCAACACATGTGCAGGACTGAGAATGACTACTTGAACAATGGCAGTTCCTGGGACCAACAGCAGTGGCACAGATACAATGATTTGTCTCTGCTCACTCTCCCATAAGTGATATGATAACAATATGCTGTCAATGCAAGGTTGTCCTGGTCTTGCCAGTTACCTGAAAAGCAGGAAGAAGCCATAGATCTCGAGTACCATCCCGATGAGAGGCCAGCCGATGAGGACCACAAACACTCCGCCCAGGAAGAACGCTGTGGCTTTAACTTTGTGCTTTTGGAAGAAGAAGCGGAATGTTCTCTCTAGTCCGATGACAAAGGCCAATCCAGCCACAAACAGGACCTGGAACAAGAGAAGAGGCGAGAGCTGCTTGATAGGGCACTGCAGCAGATCCTTTCCTTCCACGTGATCAAGATAAGGCAGAGAAGAAAGGTTTTGCTTACAGAAACCACTAAGACATTAAATTAAAGATAAACAGACTTCACTAATAGGACAGAATAGCAGACCTGAATTCCAGACCTGAATTTAGAGAGTATCCCCAATAGTCCGGAATGTAGTGCACTGATATCTAATTGGCAGCCAGGGGAAACCCTTTGTTCTTCCCTATTGAAAAAGTCCAGTCAAGTCTTGTGTTCCTTTCAAGACTAACCCATACCAGTTACGTAGAATCAAATACTATGGCCATGCAGAGCAAAGTGACAAGCCCTCTTAGTAGCCTCTAAACCTGCCCCCCGGTACTTATCCTCCCTCTTCTCAACCCAGAACTCACCCTCCCGCCATTGTTCTGTTCACCTGCAGAAGAGAGGAGTCTAAACCAAGACTAAGGATAATGACCTTCTTCCTTCCCCATATAATAGTATGTCTGGGTATGGGGGAGCAGATGACCTGAGAGGCCAACTAGCAAACCTGAACACTAAGTATATCTCAGGGGTCTTGTAGATGAACGTAGATGTAGGCGAGTTTAGGGAAAGTAAGTATCACTGATTAGGGGTCAAGGCTGCTCTATTGAAATGACCTGTCACATTGTTCTGAATGTCAAAGCGACAGATTCTATTTAACGAGGAAATGCCCTTTCTGGAACATCTGCTTTGGGATCCAGCGCAGGGCTGTTCTGACACGTGGATTATATGGATAATATGTTGGGATTATTCCATCTGACATTGGCAAGATATCACCTCCAGCTCCATCCCAAAGAATTCCCTGCACGGCCTCACTTACGTTTCCGATGGCAAGCAGAGCCTTGTCAAAGAACAGCAGCATGCCGAACAACAGGAAGAAAACGCCGAAGCCAGTCAGGCCCATTCCGATCTCTGGGAAAAACAAAATACACAATGAGCAATACAGGAAGAGTGACATTGTATTCACATCACTGATACAACATATACAAACTATAGGAGGAGTGACATTGTATCCACATCACTGATACAACATATACAAACTATAGGAGGAGTGACATTGTATCCACATCATTGATACAACATATACAAACTATAGGAGGAGTGACATTGTATTCACATCACTGATACAACATATACAAACTATAGGAGGAGTGACATTGTATTCACATCACTGATACAACATATACAAACTATAGGAGGAGTGACATTGTATTCACATCACTGATACAACATATACAAACTATAGGAGGAGTGACATTGTATTCACATCACTGATACAACATATACAAACTATTGGAGGAGTGACATTGTATCCACATCACTGATACATCAAATACAAACTAAAGGAGGAGTGACATTGTATTCACATCACTAATACATGAAATACAAACTATAGGAGGAGTCACATTGTATCCACATGACTGATACATTAAATACAAACTAAAGGAGGAGTGACATTGTATTCACATCACTAATACATTAAATACAAACTATAGGAGGAGTGACATTGTATTCACATCACTGATACATCATATACAAACTATAGGAGGAGTGACATTGTATCCACATCACTGATACAACATATACAAACTATAGGAGGAGTGACATTGTATATGATGTATTAGCGATGTGGATACAAACTATACAGGAATAATGACATTGGAATAACATCACTAGTACACTGTATACAAACTATACAGGAGGAACAACATTGTATCTACATCACTAATACATCATATACAGGCGGAGTGACAGTGTATCCACATCACTAATACCTCATATACAAACGATACAGGAGGAGTGATGGTAACATTGTATATGATGTATTAGCAATGTGGATACAATGCCACTCCTCCTATAGTTTGTTGTATCCACATTGCTAATACATTGTATGTTTTCTCACTTACCAAGAAATACACCTACTATGACACCGAGAGACCTGCTTCCTATTCCACTTTTTAAGCAATACAAACCTGACAAGGGTTTGAACCCATCACCAATTCAAACCAAGGAAAAGCTTGGCTGTACACACACTTTAATAGATGGCGGGATGTCATAGATTGAGCCTGTGAATAAACAGTGTGTATGAGGAGTGGGAAGGCGTGTGTGACAGATGGATGGTGGACACAGGGCACCCAGACATCTTTTATTATGATGATCAGGAACACTATTAGGAGTGCAGGAACACAGACAGAATATCACTTGTGGGCGGAGTGGCTCTTTAATAAAGACTCATGTGAGAACACAGAGGAAGAGTCCATGACATGAGAAGTGGCACAGGTGTGATTGGATCTATGCAATGCTGCACAGATGTTCGCAGGATCTATGTTCCCAGAACGACTGCGCAGGAGCCTCCCATATGCAGGGCCGACCTACTGTCTAATGGAGGAGGAACTACATGTCCCAGCAAGACGGCTGCCAGGACTCATGCTGAGCGGGAGATGCCTGGGGACTCACTGCTACATTATAACACTTCTATGTCAGGGTCTCCTCCTCTGATATGGTGGTGGTAGATGGACAGGAGCTGTCAGTGATACATTCTATATAATGTATATTTATCTCGGGGGTGATCCTGGGTTTCATGCTGTATGATGTGCTCCTTGTATCACATTATATTATATATCCTGGTGTCAGCGATACATTATATATTATACATAACCTGGGGGTGTCCCCCGTCCTCTGTATATGTGATATGAAGGGTGATGAGCCATCAGTATACAATACATATACATGTATGTATTTCCTGGGGTGTCCCCCCTCCTCTGTATATGTGATATGGGTGTGATGAGACATCAGTATACAATACATATATGTATTGCCTGGGGTGTCCACCTCCTCTGTATATGTGACTTGGGGAGTGATGAGCTGTCAATATACATTATATATAAATCACAGGGTGCCCCCCTTCTTCTGTATATGTGATATGGAGGGTGATGAGCCATCAGTATACAATACAGATACATATATGTATTTTCCTGGGGTGTCCCCCTCCCCTGTATATGTGACCTGGGGGGTGATGAGCTGTCAATATACATTATTCGACTCGTTCGCTAGCCAATCAGAGCGCGGCAGGCCAAATGGAGTCTCTGCAGCCTATGCGAGAGCAAAGCGGTGCCGGCTGGGTGACCAATCAGGATGCTGCGCAGGTATGACGCAATGAGAAGGCGCGAGATGTGATTGGCCGAAGTCCGGATGGTGTGGAGCGGTAAGTGGAGCAGGAATTCTCTGTTGGTACACCTGTGAACTTATCACCCCAGAGCAGGACAGCCCTAGAAGGTGACAGGTCCTGTGAAGGGCCCCATTGAACTAAATGATAACTTTCCCTTCTCCCTTCCTGTTTCTTTCTGCTCCTCTTTTGGCTTAATCCCCAATGCCTGTTTTATGGTGGCATTTGCTGCTTTTGGGAAGAACCCTGAATACCAGGGGGGCGGAGAGAGGGAAGGAGCAGGATAAACCTCACCTGCAATTGCTATGTTGCAGTACAGCATTGTAGAATTTGCATGCATTGGTGCATTGCGGCGCCATTCGCGTTTGGACCCTCGGCGCATGTCTAGAAACAACGCAATGCACCACAAACCATGATATGCAGCGCCCTGTAAAAAATGCGGCAGGTCTTGTGCTTTCATATATTAAGGTGCGTTATAGCCAATCTACCCTGCTGGGTTATTGTATTCTGACAGCCGGCACCCACAGCTGTCAGATGCAGCACCGCTCATCGTGAATAGATCCCCAGCACACTTTCAGAATGCAGCTGATTGGCTGCAATCATTCATTCAGCAAAACTTTTCCACCCGGCTGACAAAAGTTGATCAAAAAAAATCAGCTTATGTTGAGCTGCGTGGTGCTAGCAAGGCCTCACACATATCAGCCAATTTGGCAGGAGGGGGATCAAATGTGATCCGTGTATGGCCAGCTTCTGTGGAGGGTGCTAAGATTTCAATGGAGGGGCCCCTATGATGGCGGTCTTAGAGCCAGATCCCCTCGCACTGTCATCTTGTGATGACCCTTCCAACTGATCAGCAGCAATCACACCACGTCCTTTACTGTGCATGTTCCCCTTGGGGGGGGGGGGGGGGGGGGGGGGGGGCGGTGAGGAGTGGGGGGCAGGGAGAAGAGACAGCCAAGATTATCATGGTGACAGTTATATATACCTCTGTGTCCCCTGGGCTGCTTGCAGTGAATGTCTGTCAGGGCTCCATGGGCAGTCTGTCAGCTCCACTGGGGGTGATTGTGGGTTTCGGGGTGTATGCCAGGGGGCTCATTAAGTATTGGGAGCCTGCCACCCCCTAGCCATGACATAAACCAGTGTGGAGGGGCCTATGGTTTGGGGATGGCGGAGGAGGAGCAGTAGCTGTCCATTGGGTGTTCTTTTTAGGGAATTCCATATATGAGATAGTCCTCCCGTCTGTACATTATAAGGATATCACAATCGTGACCGCTGTCACTGCACTTCAGTTGCGGCATCATCCTTTACGCCCTGCAGGCCGATCTTGTATCCTTATACAGTAACATATGACATACTCCAAGCTTCCTCCAGGGGACTGAGGCTTGGTAGGAAGCTGCATCGTTCATATAAAGCACAAATATGTTGTGCTGACAGATCTGTCTTCTCTGCTTACAGTGATTCAGTTATGGAAGAGAACATGGAGTCTGATGAACTGTCAGGTATGTCATCTGCTGTCATTGGGCCAGAGCTGGGCAAAAAATATGTCCACCCCAGAAGACTCCGTGAAATGGAATGTCCGAGAATAAGTGAATTAGATAGAGGAAGGAGCAGAGTCCTCTAGCAGTGCAGAGTATTTTTCAGGAGAGGAGAGTTCGTTAGAAGAAGGAGCACAGTCCTCCAGCAGCGCAGAGTATTTCTTCAGATGAGAGTTAGAGGAAGGAGATGAGTCCTCCAGCAGGGCAGAGTATTTCAGGAGAGGAGAGTTAGATAGAAGGAGCAGAGTCCTCCAGTATTTCAGGAAAGGAGAGTTAGATAGGGAAGGAGCTTCCTTAATGGGAATCGCAGAGTATCAGCAGGGCAGAGTATTAGATAGAAGGAGCAGAGTCCTCCAGTATTTCAGGAAAGGAGAGTTAGATAGGGAAGGAGCAGAGTCCTCCAGCAGTGCAGAGTATTTCAGGAGAGGTAGATAGAGAAAAGAGCAGCACAGAGAAGTCTTATTTATATATTTAACAGGACAGCGGCGTGCTGGTATGATAGTGGTGATTTGTTTGCTGGAATGTGCTGCATCTTTTTCCTGTTCAAAATACAGTGTAAATACATCTTAGGAAGACGTGTAATGATCGAGGTGTCCCTCTGTGTCCTCTCTTCTTTCTCTCTGTTGTTGCAGCACTGGTAGATGAGCTGGAGGAGGTCAGTACAGAGTTACAGGCCATCGAGGTGCAGATCCAGGAGCTGGTGGACAGGCAGCAGGAACTACTGCAGAGGAAGAACAGTCTGAAGAAGAAAATCCAGAGAGTATCAGAGGATGCAGAAGCCGGGACCAGCTCTGAATCTAAAGACGACTGGAACAAAGAAGGTAAATTCCACAATCAAACTCCATTCAGGCCGTTTAGATAAATGGGAACTGCAGCTTTTTTGTGCTGCTCAGAAACCACATATGATGATATGGATGAAAATATAGAATTATATACAAGGATACCAGAAAAAAAAGTTAAGAAAGATTGTTGGAAGACTTTAGTAAATATTTGGCCTGTGTTGTAGGTATACCTACACACTGACCTTGTCATTTTTCTTTCATTAGACTTTGCCTGGTCGCAAAGGGTGAGTGAAGAGCTGCACAATTCCTTCCAGCTGGACACCTTTCGGAACTTGCAGCTAGAAACCATAAACGCCACAATGGCCGGGAAAGACGTTTTCCTCATAATGCCGACCGGAGGTGGGAAGAGTCTGTGCTACCAGCTGCCGGCTGTGTGCTCAAAAGGTGAGGGCGGTAGCTTGGGGTCCTTCTTCGCCTTATGTAATGTTGCAGTGTTGCAATATGATGTAACAACAGTACAGAATGGAGACACAATTAATGACACCACCTTGCAGAACGAGTCTTCCCTATATTCTTTCCCACAAAAATAACGAATAATGCAAGGTTTAGGTTTGCAGGTTTATTTCTATTTTTGCGAGAATATTTGAATATGAGCGGATAACTACATACCTATATAGCTAGGGCTACTGAGTGATCCGCAAAGCCTGTATTGGAGCTGCAATTATTGATAGTCTACAGAAAGAAGCAGGGAGCTCACTTTTTTTAAATTTTATTTACGTTGCTCTTAGTGACCAGAAGCGGTGTTCAAGCTGTAGAGATATGAGCGCTGAAATAACTCATCACATGATCAACAGACCAGAAAGTGCACTGTCATATCAGTTTGGTATTCTGTGAATGCAAAACAAGAAAGTGTAGCACCCCTCTGACCCCTAGAAGCATGTGGGGGATGTCAGAGGCAGGGTGGGCTGACATTTCATCTCAGGGTCCTTAGCCGGTGCAGGGGTGCAAATGTAAAGTGTGGCGCCAGTCACTTTAGGGGGTTTTCAAAGATTTTATTCCTTCATTAACTCATATGAGAGAGGTGTAAGCGCTACAGACACCTAGGGTAGAGACTCTAGACTTGCCGACCACGCCTAGGGTAGAGACTCTAGACTTGCCGACCACGCCTAGGGTAGAGACTCTAGACTTGCCGCCCACGCCTAGGGTAGAGACTCTAGACTTGCCGCCCACGCCTAGGGTAGAGACTCTAGACTTGCCGCCCACGCCTAGGGTAGAGACTCTAGACTTGCCGCCCACGCCTAGGGTAGAGACTCTAGACTTGCCGCCCACGCCTAGGGTAGAGACTCTAGACTTGCCGCCCACGCCTAGGGTAGAGACTCTAGACTTGCCGCCCACGCCTAGGGTAGAGACTCTAGACTTGCCGCCCACGCCTAGGGTAGAGACTCTAGACTTGCCGCCCACGCCTAGGGTAGAGACTCTAGACTTGCCGCCCACGCCTAGGGTAGAGACTCTAGACTTGCCGCCCACGCCTAGGGTAGAGACTCTAGACTTGCCGCCCACGCCTAGGGTAGAGACTCTAGACTTGCCGCCCACGCCTAGGGTAGAGACTCTAGACTTGCCGCCCACGCCTAGGGTAGAGACTCTAGACTTGCCGCCCACGCCTAGGGTAGAGACTCTAGACTTGCCGACCACGCCTAGGCTACAGACTCTAGACTTGCCGACCACATCCCAGCTTCATCGTGCAGAGGGCTTTTAAACTAATTTCAGTAACACTGTGTATTGTAAAACCTTAGCTGGTTAGCAGACATAGCACAGAACTCCCAGGAGGAGACATCTGACTTCCTGCGAGGTCCAAGCCCACTTCTGGCTTCCATGGCACCTGGGACAGAAGAAGTTCCTCCCTTGTTCTCCATCTCAGGCACTACTTTCCCCTTCACTGGCAGGACAGCTGCAGACCCTGACTGGGTCTCCATACCTGACCACCTGCAGGCTCAGGCCTGGTTAGACAGCACTTCATGCACCCTCTCCCAGGCAGGAGGCCAAGGGGAGGAGACACTCACATGGTCAGCTCTGAATATTTATGTCCTTCCCCAGCATCCAACACTAGCCATTAACCTCCTAGTGATTGGCTAGGGTGACACATATATTCATAACACCCCACCATTTGGATGCTCTGCACTGTGGCAAGGTTACACCCAGCAGCAGGCAGATGCAAACAATAACAGAGTGCTTAGGAGAAATCAAATCGGCACAGACTATCAAATTGGCTAGACTGGATACAGTCCAGCAGACTAAATTTAAGGAGTCAATCTTCTTAGGGCGAGGTGGCTACATATGAACACCATCCCTGAACCCCCAAATTCTATGTACACAGTGCTGGATTCACTGTCTTTGACCTCCTACAGTATTGGGTATAATGTCACTTAACCCCCATTTCTGGTACAAAGTGCTTGCATTTGAAGTCCCGAAGTCCCTCGCTCCTGTAGCCGGTTGGGTAATAATAGAGTTGCAGGTGTTGCAGCCCATCCATGCTCAGATAATAGCGTCATTATTTGTGTGATTGTGTGAGACTGAGTGATGTAAGAAGCACTCTTTCTTTAGAATACACAAGACTCTCATTTCGATGCATGACTTCTTTTTTTCTATTAAATGTGGAGAACGCACCCCTAACTTACTCCCTTATTTTAGGTCTCACGCTGGTGATCTGTCCACTTGTGTCCCTGATGGAAGATCAACTGATGGTACTGGAGCGCCTGGGGGTCTCCGCCACCTCTCTCAACGCAGCAAGCAGTAAGGTTGGTACTCCAGCCATGACGTATGGATCACATTTTTCATGCCACTGGCATAGATAAAGGGTAACTGCACTTTTAGTAATGCTGTCTCTGCTCATACTGACATATGCATGCCTCATTCACCAGCAGACTAAAGTTCTGATTATCCATTTTACTGAGTCCATCTAAGTTTTGTTAAAATCTACTGACCCTTGATGAAGGGGTGGAGTTGTTGGCCCCTGAAAAATATTGAGTGTTTTATGCTATCTTATGATGAGCAATTTGGACTCCTTTACTCACTCTTAATAATGATCCCCCTCCAGCAATTTCCCCCCTTCCTTCAAAGTCTGCTACTCTTCTGGCCTTTTGCTGTGTTGCCTGCTCTTCAGAGGTTTTTCTGCCTGGATGAATGAATGGAACATATACTTTAAATGTATGGAAGAATAAGAGCTTGTGCGTGAGCTGGAGTTTTTCGATTGTCACACTGAAGGATAAAGCAGTTGGTGCTTGTATGGAATCAGGCATTACTTTTGTAAGTGATGATGTCCTGCATGTATCCACCTCAGGAACATGTGAAGTGGGTGCACAGCGAGATGATTAACCGCAACTCAAAGCTGAAACTCATCTATGTCACACCGGAGAAAATCGCCAAGAGCAAACTGTTCATGTCGCGGCTGGAGAAGGCCTATCAGGCAGGGCAGCTGGCGAGGATCGCGGTAGATGAGGTCCATTGCTGCAGCCAGTGGGGACATGACTTCCGACCAGGTGAGAAATCCAATGGTTTTGGTGAAGAGAGAAAATGTGATGGTGCCCATGACAGCCAGTCCGCATTCAACTAGATGTATTAGCATTACAAATATACTTTTATTTTCATCAGTTGATATGGACCTGAATGTAAATTAGGATTTGTATGTTATAGGGAACAGCTAGAAATGTTCTTTTTTTTTTCTAATTGGTACCCTTAAAAATTTACCTTTTTTTAGTCTTACATTTTTCCTGGAAAAAATGCAGTGCACTGCTTCCGCCTAGGCACTCCTGTTCTGTAACCTCATAGCTGTATATCTGCAGTGTGACATCATATAAGGCACTGCTGCCTCTGACTGCTGGTCTCAGGAGATTTGGGGTGTGATTTTGGTGATGTCACTACTGTGCTGCTCGCTGTTCTCCTTGCTGGAGAGGAAGCTGTACCTCAGGAACTGCAGTGCAAGGATCTCCCTGCTACTGTTTTATTAATTCTATGAATCTGGGCTTCCTCCACCTCTATCATTATCCCTCCAGTAAAGAAATCTCCAGTCATCAGGGGATAGCTCTGGCACGAGCAAGCTAACCCCTGCTCCTCTTATCAAGTTGGACACCTTCACGCAGTGACACAGTGCTGAACAAGGCATGGCAAGTTAGTAATGAGGATCAGGTGCAGGGAATATTGGTGGCTAGTCTTTTGTTCCCTGTTTGCCTTTTTTTTTGGCACAGCTTCCACAGTACAGGTCCTCTTTAAAGCCTCATAAGCATAAAACAGTCATTGACTGTCCAGTTTGTATCGATATTTGACATCGTCATAGTCTTTGGTGTTTTTGTTTGTTTTTTGTTTTGTGTGACTCTCCTCCGCTTGCAAAGTTTTGAATTTGGCTGATGAATTTAAAAATTGCAGATGACTGTTGCACCGTATATTTCCTCATTCAGTTTGAGGCTTCATCCTGCTACTGGATGTTGCTGTTCACACATATTCATGTCCCATAGAGATTTACAGGGGTAGTGCACCTGAATATGATTTTATGGCATGTTTAATTTCTGTTTTTCAGACTACAAACTTCTGGGTATCCTAAAGCGCCAGTTTCCCAACGCCCCTTTGATTGGCCTGACCGCCACGGCAACCAGCCACGTATTAAAGGATGCCCAGAAAATTCTTTGTGTTCAGAAGCCGATCACCTTTACCGCTTCTTTCAATAGACCCAACTTGTTCTATGAGGTATGATGGGTCTCTGTGGTTTTAACTCTGCTGATACTTGATAATGATTATTTCCACTCTGACATCATTCATACTCCATCTACTCATCTGTGGCCACATAGAAAACACATTCAGTTGGGACTCACACTGCTTGTATCACTATGGTGAGGATGTGGAACAAGCAAATGCTTTGCAGGGACCCCCTACATACCTATCACTCCACTGCCTCCCCCCCCCCCCCCCCCGCGCCCTCAAAACCCCC